AAAAAAAAATATTAAAAATATTTTTTTTCCCAAATCAAGTGGTTTTTTTTTTAAGTCAATACCATATGATTGTTCAATCATCATCTTTTGTTAATGGGCCACAAAAATCAAACGAAAAGATGACATTTTATAACGTTATTCTTAACAGAAGGGGTGATTTGTTGATTTCATGCAGTAGAAGGGCTGATTTATCAGTGTTTCTGGTACAGGGCTGATCTGCCACAGGCCCACAACATTGCAGATGGGTTGAATTGCACCTTCTGCCTTTTCGTTATGTCAAAAATTAGCTAGTTGGACGTCATATAAATTTATATTCAACGCCAAGTTTAAAATTTTACACGAATGTTAACCATTTAAGAAATTTATTATTAATATAAATAAAAGATTTTAAATTTAAATTATATGATATATTAGTAGAATAAATTTAAGAGATAAGAAGAAGTTATTTTTTATTATATAATTTAAAATAAAAAAATAAAATAAAATTTTAAGTCATTGTTCCTCAAAAGGAAATTTAAGTTAATATTTTTCAAAAAAAAATTTAAATTAATAAATACAACACAGCCCAACTTTTATTTATTTATTTTTAACAAATTCATAAGAAATCGGATTTAAATCATTACCTTAAAAGTGAGAATATACACTTATACGTGACTTGATACAACTAAATCGAAAACCGAAAGTCACAAGTGCCAGCCCAACTTTTAGTTGGTCATATAAAAAAATAAAAAAGGTAGATATTATATGGGTGTCATGTGTAAGTAAGTCTAGCCGGCCCATCATCAGATAAAATGAAGAAAAAAATTGTTATTAATCCCTCATTTTGGTGCGCCTCCTGTGGACAAAATTAGGGGAAATTGTAAAAACAGCGGCCACTGCTGCCTCCATCCAACTAAAACTTAAGCTGCTGTTCTAAAACAGCGGGCCGGCCGTTCTTATATTCTTTTCCACACCCTCTTCGTTCTCGTTTCACTTCCACACTTCTTCCTCTGCATACCTACATTAGTTTTACTACTATTTCTTTATCAGTGTTTGCACATAGCCTTTTTTTCACAAAGCATCCGTTTCTCTGGCTCTGACGATGGCTTCTATAACTGAGTCAATGGCTCTCTCTTGTTCCTCACGCTTTGGAATTTCCGTCTCTCCGCGCGCTACTGTGGCGTTTTCATCTGGGGTGTGTCTTTCTGCTCGCCGGAGATTGCCGGAATTCAAGGGGTTGAAGATCCAGGCGCCTTTGAAATCTCCGTCCACTTCGTTCAAATCTAGGAATCTTGGGATTGTCAGTCGGAGAGGAGGCATTGTGTGCCAAGCTCAGGAGACTGCTCTTGATGGTATGTTCACACTCATTCTCCCTCTTTCTGATTTCTCTTAGTTGGGAAAATTATTGGTTAAGTTGTAGGCTTGTAGGCATGAATTTTTTGCTTGATTTGTGTTTTAATAGATTAGTTTTGATCCTTTTTACTGTTTTCACAAAATGTTGAAGATTATTTGACGGGTTTTGGTTAGTTAAGCAAAAAGGAGTAAACTTTGCAGAGTTTATTACTTTTCTTGTGGGTTTAGTGAATGGGTTTTTCAAATGTAGGATGAGATATTGGTGAAATCATGTCTGTGTCCATGTGAGATGACATGGATTCAGAGGAAATAACTAAGGGTTCTTTTACATTGTTCAAGTAATGTGGATTTAGAGTTTGACTATTGGAGTATTAGCTTCTATGGATGAATTAGCATGAACCATGAGGTATTATTGCGAATTTCCTAGCTTATTAGCTTGGCTTCTGTAGTGATAAAAAATTAGTCTACTCTGATCTAGTGCATCAAGAAAGATTATTGAAGATGTAGAAGAGTAATAGCTGTGCTTTCTGTTGATCAGAGCTCTTACTTGGATGTAGCATACTGATGTGGAGAGAAGGAAGCAAGTGAGGAGGCAACCCCAACTTGTTGAGCTAAAAACGTTTTTGAAACTATTATTTTGAGCTTAGGTGAAACGAAAATCTGTTCTTGAGCTGAAATTTCTAATTTCTCAATCCTAAAGTTCTCTGATGATACAGAGAGCAATGATTCTACATAGGTTTTTGGATACTTTTTACTGTACAAGTTGAAATTTATTGGCTGATTATTCAAATTCTAGGATCCATTATGCTGGATTTGACCTGTTGCCCATGAAAGCCTGGCTCATTTTACAGTTGAGTATTGGGTAAGATTGAGAATTCTAAACTATTGCTAACGGCAGTCCCACTTAACTCAGCACAGCGTTATGAACCATAATCCAAAAAAATTCGTCTAGTTAAGATGTTTTCATATACCCCATGCCTAAATAATATACAAGTACTTAGCATACTGAGTTTTTATATCTCAGTGTAGAACCATCCTTCCAGATTGGAGCATGATTATGAAAGAGTAATCATTTATGCATATGATTCAAATAGTAGTCAATGTGTTGCAATGAGTGCATTATGCTTGGCGCCTGTCATTGACTATACATTTTGTGGTAGATGTTCAACTCATCTATGTATGTCAAATTTTGACTGTTCAGAATGACCTAGAGATTGACCATCTTATGTTTGATGTCAAAGAGAGGTTTGAGCACTTCCTAAATCTTTTCCTTTTCCTTTTTTTTTTTTGGTA